AAGCCCGTCGTTATCCTACCTGAATAAAGTGCAGTCCCTTCGATCCGAGTACCAACTCTCTTTTACACACATACATACATATATATATATATATATATACAACACATACTCATCATCCTCTTCCTCCTCCTCCTCCTCCTCATACTTTTTTACTTGATTTATTTTGTTGTTTTTCGTATATATGTATGTGTTACGTGTACGAGTCGTGACAACGTCCATTCGTATTTCTCACTAGGGAATTTACACACACGTGTGTCAGCCTAGATTTATTTTTTCTCCTCCCCCCATCACGACTTCTTACTTTTCGTATGAATGCACTTTTTATGATTGCAATGCCAGGTATAATACTGAGAGGTATAAGTGAGTAATTCTTTCTCTCTCTGAGTAATTCAAGTGATACACGATTAGTTTATATTGTTTTCGAATTGAATCGAATCGAATTTTCGGTCATGAAAATTCTTTAGGAATTTTGTTTTTTCTTTTTGATTTGTCAGTCTCGTCTTAATACTAATATAAAGTTTTAAATAGAAGTTTTACAAATTTCGGTTGATTACGACAGACAACGTGCAGGAACAGATTACAACAGAACCGAAAAAATTACAAATGTTTCATCCAATTTTCTTTATTTTGATTTGTCAGTCTCGAACGAAACGTGTATCAATGAATTAATAATACGAATATCAAGTTTTAAATAGAAGTTTTACAAATTCTAGTTGATTACGACAGACAAAGTGCAGAAACAGGTTACAACAGAACCGAAAAAATGCATAACTATGTGGATTTTTCATTGATATGAAACTAAAGTTCGTAATTATTTCTTAGGTAAAATGTTTGCCAAACTGATTTAGACGTGTTCCACACTTTTATCAAATGTCAAAGTTCCCCTTTCTCTCTGTCTTTATTTTTCTGTCTTTTTTTTAGGTTTGATCGAAAGTTTTTCGACGTTCACGAGAGGTAGTAGCATTGGTCCGGTCGCGTTTATGGTAATTATAAACGCGAAAGGTGCCGCCAGGTGCTCCGGTTGCTTTCGACTCGATGCTAAAATTGGTTCTTACAAATTGCCGCGTTAATTCGACACGGTCCGAGAATAAGCAACCAACGAAGGACCAGCAACTTGTATTCAGCTGTTCGTTCGATGCACAAAGAAATCCAATGGGAACGTGTACGCGGCGTATTCCTGCACGTTTGATCGACTTCTTTAATTGGGAACTCGCGAGAAAGATAAATTGTTCAATCGAAGTATCATTTTTTTCCAACATTATTTTACAAATAAGTAAGTAAAGTATATGAAGTTATGCGTTATCAATCATTGCCGAAAAGTAGCATAATCATTCCAAGAGAGGGAGTTGAATCATTTTTGAATTAATTTGTGTGCCCATAATTATGAAAGTGGTTTAACATAAGTCATATATTTCTTGTTTTGAGATATTTAAAGGATTACATTTGAACATTAAAAATAAATTCTATATAATATTAAAATAACAAACATTATCTAAAGGTTCATTTCTGACAATATCGTGTGAAAATTACATTGAATTTAATTTAGTTTAAAATAATGTGAGTTTGAAATAACTGATGAACTCATTTTTTTTTATGACAATTAAATAAAATAAAATGTAACGTGTCGATTCATCAGGAGTAATACCATTATGTAAAACTAAAAAGAAAGTAAATGAACATGAAAAAAAGAAATTCAAATGACATTTAGAAAATCAAGAAAAATCGTATACCGACTCACCAGTTTCGAGATCCACGGTGTAATTGCGTCCTGCCCAAGGATCATCATCATCCTGATGTTTTACCTCAACCCCCTCTGGATCATCCTATAAATAATGGTATCTTCTAATAAAAAATCATATAGTCCTGGGCACGTGGGAGGAGTAATCATTCGTAAAGGATTAAAAATGAAGTGTATAAAAATTGAGGATTATCGTATTAACCATGGACATTGGTTCGCACAGGGTATAGCAAGGTTAGCTAGCTATAGGTGTATCCTTATTAAATGTATATCTATATATCTACATACCACATACTATACAAACTCGTTAAATTATCTGGAAAATGAGGATAGAAGGAAGAGAACCGGTATAATAAACGATTACCGTGGTATAATTAATCTACATTTTTTTTTACTCTTTCATTTTATATCGGTCAATCAAAAAGTGAACGAGCGATTAAAAATTTACACCATCAATACAATGTGGTTGACATTTTATTTATTTTAATTATCGAAATAAAATATCTCTCTCTCTCTCTCTCTCTTTTTAAAACAACATTTTATAAATTACGAAACGAAGGAAAATAGACAGATCGTGAGATAATTATCATTGAATCAATACAACCATGATGGTGGTAGTAATCCTGCAACTATAAACGACAATATCAACAAAAAATTAGAAGAAACCTGCCAGTAAAAAAAGAACAAGAAAAGAGACGAAAGATAGAAAGAGAGGTCTATGGTGGTAGGTGTAGGGGAGAAGGGGGGAAGAGTATTCAAGGCCGATTTTCATATAGACGTCATAATCAAGTCCCAAGCGTGCAGAGGCAACTGTCGAGAAATGAGCTAAGGGCGCACGTTGTTGCCCTGAACCAAAGGTCGATCATGGCAACGTTATATACGTGCTGCACTGAAATGAGTTTAATGAAAACAGCATTATACTATGATCATTAATCATAGAGAACCTCTGATAGTGGCCATCCAACAACAACCACGCGCGTTCAACTTCTCTTTCTCTCTTTTCTTTTTTTTTTTATTCACCCTTTTTTCTCTCTCTCTCTCTTTCTATATATATATATATATATATATAAGCCCCTCCCCCTTCCCCCTTTCCACCCCTCAAACCCCATGGTTCCATCTCATTCTGTTCTTTTTTCATTTCTTTTTCATTCCGCGTGATGTATCGTCCGTTGAGTGCCGCGTTATTTCGGCCTCAGTGTTATGAATACAAAGTTCGATATCCACGAACACGACCCCCTCTCCTTCCCTTCCCTGCCCTTATCCCTTTCCTTTTTACACCCTTCTTCTCCTTCCCCTTTTGTGTGTCCCTCTTATTCACCATCATTCCTTTTTTTAGACTTTTCACGAAGCCAATCTAACGCGTTTGGAATTCATTCTCGATAATTCAAAGATTTATTGTTGTTTCAATGTTTTATTTTGTTAATAAAAATTGTTTACACATTTTTATATGGGAATGGATTTAAAAAAAATTCCAAAACGAACGAATTATCGCTGATTCCGATTGACAATAATTATTTCCGATGATATAATATTGTTATTGAATAAAATATATTTCTTTTTGTCTTCCCCCGCCCCACCTTCTCACCGTCAAAGCAAACGACAATGGGGAAAAAAAAGAAGAAGAAGAAAAAATAAATAAAAAGAGAGAGAAAGAGGAGAAATAAGGCAACGGTTCGATAACTCGCGATGACTTTTCACGGTCATCGATTCGAACTCGCAGCATCATCATCATCATCATCATCCTTTTTTTTTTTCTATGGGGTATACATTGCGTCCTCTTTTCGTTGAACGCGACAAAGGAGGTCCTGTCATCGGTGCAGAAGAAGGGCCAGCAGTATTCTCACTGGCATAGCTCTCAATTAAGAAACTGTTACGAGTTCCCATATACACCATACACAATCGTTTTACTCGAATCGGAACGAGGTCTGTCTGTCTGTCTGTCTGTCTCTAAGAATACGTGTTTCTGCATGTATGTGTATGTGTGTATTTAGCGTATCAAACTCACCTCGATCACATGGAATAAATATGAAATCAATGTTCGGTATGGACATCGAACTGCAATCGTGTATTAAATCCTACTACTATGGTGATGGTTGATTGTGATGGTATTGGTGATGGTGACGACGACGACAACGATTACGAATACGAGGAATACAACGAGGATGATCAAAGCGAGTCATCGTTCCGTGAAGCATTTGTATCTCGACACAAACCCCATAACCTACCTTGCATACGATACACCCAACCGATACTACTCCCATCATCCTTGTTATTGGCACTTTAATATCAATTCACATTGAAAAAGACTTTATCTATAATATTAGTCAATCTATATCCGATTTTATTAACATCCTGATACGATGTATAATAATTTATATTAATCTTTTCTCTATTGTATACAAATTCAATTCATTTATATTTATTAATATTAAAAATATATTTGAATAAATATAATATATATTGTTTATTTGTTTGTCGAGATTAGATTTTGGATCCCTGGAATTTTCATTATCTTAAGGACAACTAAATACAAGAGCAGTATAGTATACAATTAAATTAACAAATTAATAATATATATACAATTCAATTCAATTCAGCTAAATTACAAATTTAAACTTCAAACACTTTAAATTAACATTAAATCATTTTCTTTTATTATTAATTAAGCCTATAACAAAATTTATTCCAACGAATGTTTTCCACTCAAAACAGTAATGAGTAAAACACGATGCTTATATAATAATAATATATATATAGAATATTTTTTTAAAATATAATTTTGTGATCTGTATATACGAGAGAGCAGATTAATACAAAGTGGAAACCCTTCGAGAGATACGCCATTTTGTTCGGATATATATTTCAGCCAGTGAAAACAATCGTGGCAAGAACAGGACGGAAGATAGATAGAGGTGGTGGATAGAAAAGGGGAATGAAGGGAGGGGGGGCCTTGGGGGATTTGGGGAAGGAGAGAAAGGAAGAGAGGCCAACCCACTTTGGTTTGCCAGACGCGTTTTCAATTTCCAGGACCATTAATACGACCCTTCGAATTCAACCCCCCGGTACCCCGCCTACCCCCAACTAGGATGCTCCAATCTCTTGGAGCCGTTGCGTATTTCTCTCCCTTTCTCTCTCTCTTTCTCTCTTTTTCACATCAGTTAAATCCTGGCAGGACCAACCAGGGTTTCCCATTCTACCATCACATCGGTCGCTGCTCTCGAAACGATCGAGGGTGCTCCCCCACTTCCTGTTTCATGTCGAGGGATGCTGTATACATCTATCATCTTGCTTGAACCACCCCCCCAACCCCTGCCTCTGCCCCCCGTCGATGGATGGATGGATGGATGGATGCATCGTGCGAACAAATGAACGCTAGCCATTTTGATGGTTTTATGAATACATTTTAGGAGGGTTACCCCTACCCACCAACCCAACTCACCCCATAGTAGTTGGGGTTATGCTTAGGTTTCGATAGAAAAGTGGAATGGGGATGGAAGTTAAGCGTTGTTTTCGAGATCCCACTTCTCATTCCTTCGTTTCTTCTTTCTTTTCTTACCCCACTCCCAACTTTCAACCCCCTGCAACCCCACAACCTCATCTTCCTGAGCTTCTTTTGATCAAACTTACTTTTCCTGGCTGGTAGAAACTTCGTGTCTCCTTATCTTTATGTTTCTTTTATTTTGCGTGGGTTTGAGAAGATAGAAAGAGTGGGGAAGGTATGGGGGTGGAAGGGGGGATCGATACTAAGTCCATTTCGTAACGGAGCCGATTTTAATGGAGCCTGTCGCCTAGACGAATGCGAAATCATTTAGATCTTTACGAGAAGTTGCGAATTAAAAATTCGTCCGAGTCACGCGTTTGTGAAATGCTAAAAAGAAGAAGAAGAATGCTGAGGATTTATTTTGACGATACTTTTTTTAACGATGGTAATTTTATTAATTATTTAAATAATAAAAAGAATTCCCCTATAATTTTAGAAAAGAGACATCATCTATCAGAAGATACATTTCTGTTTACAGAATTAAAACAATCTCAAAAGTATCATCTGACAATGGTTCTCGAAGAAACTATACAATAATATAACCATAGAAAAGAATATAATTATTCCGTAAAATAAATAAATAAACAATTCTATATATCTATAAGTGCTTTCCCCTAAAACCTAACTTCCTTCCCACATAATACTTAACACCATAAAATCTTATTAATATTATTGAAATAATACAAAGAATTCTCCTATAATTTTCGAAAAGACATCATCTATCAGAAGATACATTTCTGTTCACATAATTAAAACAATCTCAAAAATATCTGACAATGACTGCCGACGAAACCCCATACTATAATATAACCAAAGAAAAGAATATATAAGCTTGTGAAATAAATAAAGAAAGAAAGAAAGGAAGAAAGGAAGAAAGATGATTCTTCTTTGTTCCGATGCTATGAACACTCGCGAACGGCGTCTCGTATCGATCTGTCCGCTTTCGATCGGGACCGAGAAGGCCCTTCTTCTTCTTCTTCTTCTTCTTCTCCCATGTATTATTGGGCCTTCCTTCTTCTCGAAGGCGGCGTTGTGGTCCTCACAAAGGTAGAACTCGCTGGAACAATGCGATCTTCGCGGAGGAAGAACCAAAAGGTTGAGGATAAGAGATAGTAGGGACGACTCCTCTTAGGAGAAAAGAAGAAGAACAAGAAAACCATAAAGAAAAAGAAGAAGAAGACGAATCCAACCAACGAACCAACCAACCAACCAACCAACGAACCAACGAAGGATGCTGTAAAAGAGAAGGAAGGACAGAAACGTCGAGAAGTCTGATGAGCTACCCGCCCAGAACGTCGATGCAACGTCATCCTCGGTGACTATCCTACTGACGTTCTCTTCTCTTCATGGGGCTGGCTGACTACCTCGTGGATACTCTTCTTAAATGCCCTTCCTGTCCATCCACCGAAACGCGTGAGTCCTTGAACAACGGATCCCAAGAAAACGAATAGAAAATCCCATCATGGGACCCATCCTCACATATTTTCTTATTCGAACTTCCTAACACATTTTCTGTTTTTATTATACATTGAAAATATTATGGCTAATTATATTATTATTATTATTCGAGATAAGATATGTTGATTATTATTATTATTTTTGTTTTATACTAAAAACTGAGACAGAAATTTCCGGTTGATTTAATAATGCATTATGAGAAACAGGATACTCGAGTTGATTCTAAGGAAATTGATATTAGTAACACTTTTTAATTCAATATAAATGCATAATTATTAACTTGATAATGTCTGGTTTGATGTTAGAATAATCTTACAAAATGAAAGATTTTATTATTTGAAATAAATGTACAATTAATGTACAATTAATGTATTTAACTATTTTATAGGTGTACTTTTTCACTCACACAGGATACGTCAATAAAATATATATATGTCTATTATATTACATAATTTATCTTTGTATGAAATTCGACTTACGTCCGAAAAAAGTTGTGAAATCAAATCCCTATCGTAAATTGAGAACTGATTGTATCCTTTTCTAGATTGTCATTGTTTTTTCAAAAATAATTACAAATTTTAATTATAAACGTTACTTATACTTCCATTTCAGATTCGATCACACATTTGTAAGCAAAAATATGATACCAGTAATACGTTTTAAATAATGAAAATCACGTAGGAAAATTCCGAATGATCGGGTGTGCTGGTAAAACATATTTAATTATTAAATAAAGAAAACAACGATGATGTATTTTTATGGGCGAATAAATAGTTCGTGCCATTTACGATGAAGATAAGATAAACGATAGATACGCGACAATTTTGAAAATAATATAACAGAAAAGATTATATCCTAGCAGTGAACACTTGGGGCTTGTACAATATATATTTTTCGTGCCTAATCTTTTTCGGTGTCTGCTGAACATGCCGGCGGCTACCATTGAACACTATGCCAACTTAATCTTCTTTTCTATTTTTTTTTTCGTCTTCTAGGACTATAAGTGCCCTTTGATCGATTATCGATCCACGGAAATATACCCCTCCCCCTGTCCCCCACCCCTCAATCCACACACACGTATCATAGAAATTTCTTCATTTTATTTACCGATTATTACTGACACAATTTTTTAATCCGACAAAACGTGTTGTCAAATTGTTTGGAAAATTTTTCGAATTTTTAGAATATTAATTTATGATTATCGATAGTAAAAATAATCGAAATGAGAAAAGAAATGAAAGAGAACGGGATAACATTAAGAAATAAACTGTCGATATACAATGGAATGCAAGATCTGAAGATTGTGAAGAGATAGCCACCCCGAATACCAAATTCCAGAGTTGTTCGAGCACGACTGGTGTGTGTTATCTTTGTTTGATGTCTACTATGTCTACTTCCAAAGATTGATATAGATCTGCCGACACGGATCGTTTGTTTCATGTAATCATTCTCGCGAACAAAGAATATAAATCAACAATAATACAATATAATGATTTATATTAATAAGATTATTCATATTTTCTTAAGTTCCTTTTCCCATTTAGAAATCGTCCCCTCGAAATTATGCATTCCAATTTTAAACGTCACTTTTACAATACAAAACACATACACATAAACAGAAATAATTTCCAATATAAGATAGGAATAAAACGTAATACTTATTAGGAATAAAAATCGAATGGGTTTTCTCTATTTTGCAGGAAGAACAACAAAAAAATTTAGCTACTTTCGCTCATTCGTATGCGATTAACGATAAAGAATAAAAAGAAAAAGATGACGGTGGCAGCCAACCGATGGGACATCAACGAACATTTTTTTCTGTATTCCTTGTCCTTTTCTTTCTGTCTTTTCTCTTATTATGTGTGTGTGTATGTGTGTATATATATATATATATATATATATGCGAGAGCGTGTGAAAAGTTCTGCGTTGGCATAGGAGAAAAGAAGAAAATACGTCTCGCGAGAAAGCGGGAAGTCATTGGACGACCAACGACCAACGATGGAACGAACAATGGGTCCTTAATCGACGAATCGATAATTATGGCATGGTTGGTACCTCCTTATGGTTGTTCAAATCGACAGGAGAAATCTCGGCAGCCTTTGTGCCGAACAAACGAATGTACTAACTAACATTTTCGGATGGAAAAAGAATGAACAAAAATTCCACAAGCAAATAATAAAACAACAACAACAACAATTGACGTTAGATTTAAGAAAAATTTACCTTTTGATTGGTTGCATTAATCGCTTCCAAAGCTTTGAGCTTTTCAATCTCATCCTCAGATTCTTTTTCGCAACTAGTTGTTACTTTTTTCTTCGATGTTGTACTAGTCGGTTCAACCAAAGTGAAACCTAAATCGACGTCTTGTTTCCAAAGTACTTCGATCAGATCCATGTCCTGGAACAGAAAGGGGAAATCTGAAAAATTTAATCGAAAATCATTTTTACATCTTAATCTTAATTTTTGATGATAGATATTATTAGACTGTATAAGATTTTCTATTCGTAATTCTCATTTTTACAGTTAGTTCGATATAAATTAATAGGTTTACGCAGGATACGAACGATATGTTGTTTGATACCTGCCCTACCATCTTTCTAAAGGCCCTTTCGATTCTCATTTTTGTTCCACGCATCTCGGATGTGTCCCTTGCAGGGAATCCCATCGACGAGTACGTACAAAAGTGTATGATTAATGATGCTCGAGTATCGATGCATCTAAAAGTGGTGTGAGATAGTAAGTAAAGAGTAGTATATACATGTGTGTGTGTGTTTGAGAGAGAGAATATGTGAGCAAGAGATAGATAGAAAAGGATAGGGGGAGGGAAGATCGAAGAAAAGGACTCGAGAGAAGGGACCAATCACATGACGAGGCAGAATCGTATGGGGCAGCTGGCCCCGTGACTTTTAATTGAGCCAATTTCGTCAAATAACTTATCCAGCCTCGTTAACCAATCTACGAATTTTCTTCGCTAATCTAATACACGTTCATACGTTTCCCCCGTGTCCCCTTATTTTCTAACTCTTCTTTTTTTTATGCATTTCAATACTGAATACTTTTAAAACTGCATAGTTTATTATTATTCATATTATTTTAAACCAGATTTAATAATAAATTATATTTAATTAATTACAGAGTTTTTGGTTTCTTATATATCATTTTTATGTAACAACATTCAAAAGAATAATCAATTAATTAACATTAATATTAACAAACACATATATGTGTTCATATTACAGTCAAAGTTCATATATATATATTGAACAAAAATTTAAATTCAAAAGAAATAAAAAAGAAATGAAAACGTTTAGGTAATGAAAGGTGTTAACGTGTTTCCCATAAATACCAGCTGAACTTTTTTAGAAACACTATGTAAAAAGTAAGAAAATCTAATGGAAGTAGAACTGTCTCGAGTACAAAGAAGGAAAGGAAATCAAATGGGTCGTTACGATTTCCTCGTAGAAACGTCCTGTACGAAAGAATACATACGAGGAAGGTGGTAACGGGGTACTGAATAGATAATTGAACGAGGAAGCGATTAGATTTGCCGATTCCTTCACGGTGGACAGGCGTAACAACTCGATCGTGGTCTGTTTAACATCGTCGGATGTTGCATTGAGTTGCATTGCGTTGCTGCATTGCGTTGCTGCATTGCGTTCGGGTTCTCCCTTCCTTACCCTTTCATTCCCTTCCTCAAAGTTTATTTTATTTTTCTTTATCGCCATCGTCATAGAAGAAATTTCTCTGCGAGGGGGATAATTGTACGGAAGAAGGTGAAAGAAAATTGGAAAGAGAAAACGAACAAAATAATAATGGAAGATTCAAGAAGGAAGTTAATATTTTAGATGAACAAAATCTGATGTCTGATGGATCGTAACAAATGAATTTATGTGACAATTTATTTTATTTGTCCAGGTGGTATCGTTATTGAAATAATAAACTACGGGAAATCGTGCATAACTTTGAATGAGTATCTAAATTATTTTTTTTTAAATCTTTTTATATATCTTATTCAAGTAAATCAATGAACTACCAAAAAACAGATAACTGTCTTACCCATATTTTATTTTACAATATAAAACAAATCATAGAATCAATTTTTCGGATACTTCATTGTCATAATTATTAAAAATACGTCAATGATCTTGTTTGATTAATATCATTTTATCCCATAGGAAACCTTGAAGGATTTTACTTTGATCAAACGAGCGTGTACCTTTTCCCTTTACCAAAGTTGTTTCGGCGAGCGTGTAATTCGACGAAGAGCGAGGAAAGAAATGAGAAAGAGAAGGGTAGAGGACCGAGTTAGGGTGAGAAAAAGAAAAAGAAAAAAACAAAAAGAAAAGAAGAAGAGACCGTGGCGTGGGTGTGCGTACAAAGTCGGCCATGTTGGAAAGACACAGCGGGATATCCGCCGCGCCCACAGTTATCTTCCTTCTCTTTCTCTCTTCCTCCCCCTTCCCCCCTGCCCAACCCCTTGCCCTCTCGCCCCTCGACCTACCCACCCAACCCCCACACCACCCCAGCCCCTCTTTTCTCTCTTTTCTTATTCTCCCTTTGCTTCTCCTTCGCGTTTTACTTCACCTATCAATTCCCCATGTACACACACACACACTCATACATATACATATATATATATGTATCCCCCAATTTCATTAGAACCATACGATTTTCATAATAAAAACATGAAACCTTTCAATCTTAATCGACTGGATAATCACGATGGAAAAGTGTAATTTTTGATTAGGGGGGGATATGTTGTAACGTGTTAATCATGGAAAAAAAGAAAAGAAAAGAATGAATGAAAAAACATGGGTGTGTATATTTATGTACGCACGTAAGAAATTATACATCTTTTAGCGCATTTGTGAAAAAAGACACTATCACGAGTGACCCAATTCTAGAAATTATCAAAGTTCTATGGAAAATAAAATATTGTTACAGGATCGTATGATGTCCGAAGAGGTGTGGCATACAAATTTTATTCCTTGCAGCATATTCCAATAGTTTATGGTTTAGCTATAACAGCAATGTATAAGAAGGTAGCATGATTTTGTATGCCACTTCTTCGGACATCATGTGATCCTGTAAAAAAATTGTATTTTCCATAGAATTTTGATAATTTATAGAATTGGGATTATTGTTTTCGATTCAATGCGACTGTTGCACATTTAAAAAATGTAATTTGATGTTCAGGAACTCCAATAAAACACGTGAAAGATGCACTCAATCTGATTATGACGCGACTAACTTCACGCTGTTAATTTCATATCGGTGTGCGCGCGCATCGTAAATACCGAGGCTAACTTCATCCTTGTTAATTTCGTGGTCCCCCCTGCTAAAAATGGCGCGGAAAAAAGTACATAACCTCAAAAACAATAGTCGGACGTTCGTGTATCGGTGTATCGATGGCATGTAAAATAAAAGAACGAGAGAAAGAGAGATAGAAAAAGAGACAAAGGAGAGTCGTTAACGGGCGGCACGAAAAGAAAAGGCGCGGAAGAAAAAGAAAAAGAAAAAGAAGAAGAAGAAGAAGGTGTATCTGTGGATCAGCAATTACACGCGGTTGTCTGGTAATGGCCGACGAGTGTTTATCTAGAATCTCTCGTCCCTCTTCGGGATTGTATTGGACGTGTCGTTTCGTTTCTCTGTCCCGTCGTCATTTATACTACACGCCCGAGATTCGATATGCCGATCTCTGCAATACTATGACGACGTACACTCTCATTTAATCGTTAACCTCTTATCTTTAGACAAAATTTGCTTAGATTGTATTCCTTTAGGCTGATATACAGGTAATACAAATGCTGCACCAGTGTTAACAGAACAAGAGAAAGAGAAAGAGAAATAAGGACGAGCATAGGCTTCTGCTTCACGCTATCACTGACACTCTCCGAATGACTTAGCGAGATTTGGTTATTCTGTTAATACAAGAGTGTATGTTCGTGTGCTTCTAAACGGATATAAATTGACCAGCATGGAATTCATATATTCTATATACGAATTTAAATGAGATTAGATTTGCCGAAAGAATTACGTTATTATTTATTAATCCAATTGACGTGTTTGATAATAGAAAAATGGAAAGAAATACAAAAAACAAGAAGAAAAGAAACAAAAATCTTAAAAAAAGGTTTATCATTTTAATGATAAATGATCGGTAAGTCATAGAGTTCAAAACAAAAAAATAATACAATCTATTTGCTTTGCCATACTTACTTTAACCTGAAAAAAAAAAAATGGCAAGGTGTTTTCAAACGATTCGAAATAATAATTCTAGTTATGTTAAAGCCGACAAACGCGTACTATTACGAATCCGGAATTGAACGCGGAACGAGAGTAGGAATGCTTGGACGATTTAAAATACGTCACCGTCACCCTAAGGAAGAAAGTTTGACGAAAGTCATCGCGTCATTCCGCATTAAAGCCAAACGTGTTTCTTTTTTTTCTTTTTGTTGCATTTTCTCTTGAGTTAATCGCAAGACGATCTCCTTCGTAGAATCTTTCTCTCTTTCTTTCTTTCTCTCTTTCTCTCTCTCTTTGTCGGTGCAAAAAGTGTCGCGAGTAAATCGCTTTAATGAGGGACGATAGGAGGACTTTGCTCAGCCTTTCTATTCCTTCACGCTAACTTCCTTTCAGGGACAACGACGATTGGAACGTTTGCGAGATGTACGGCGCCATGCATTAAAGCTTCTTCCTCTTACAACAAATGTCCTTCTATATTTCTTTCTTTCATTCTTTCATTCTTCCTTTATCTCTCTCTTTCAATCAATTTTTAATTTTTTTACTTTTGTTTACTTGGTACAATCGAGTGCACTCGTTTTCCTTCGATTTGCATCCGATCGACCGTCTCGTTCGAAACGAATCGGGGCTTTGACTCGAATCCTTTTTTCCCCCCACCCCTCTTCCTCTTCTTCTATCTTTTTTTTTTTATTCCTACATCCGGTCTCTCTTTCTCAATGATTTTACTTTTTTATTTAATTTATTTATTTATTTTCTTCGATACTTCCCGTAGAATCTCGACACGATTTCTAAACAAGCTCGATCAAATCGAACCAACTTTTCTTTTTCATCCTCTTCCTCAGTCGGTTATTCGCATTGTTTATTCGATCGATTACAAATTTCTCATCCCTTCTCTTACTTTACTTTACTTTACTTGCCATGGGGATCGTTATTTCCTTATTGTATAACTCCATAACCGAGTTTTGCTACCTCGATCGCAAGAAAAGGTTTGCATCTAAGAGAACCTATAAATTATCTACACAGCAGCACGTGGCATTTAACGTCATTGTGTGATCATCAAGTATTCTCATATGAAACTAACGCATACTGCAATTTTGTCCCTATCGCAAACATGATTCTGATTTATTAGTTGCAACTATACTATTGGTTAGAAA